GTTAATAAAGCCAAGTATGTAACAACATGCAGGCAAGCATGCCAATAACATGCAAACGACTGGACCTTAAAACTGAATATGCGGCAGCTCTCAAATAGGCCAAATCAGTGGCCAAAGTCAAGAATTTTGAGCATGAAAATGCAAAACAATCATGCACAAGTGAGTGGTCCAACACTAGGCAACCATGCAAACAATCCTCAAGGATGAGCAAGATGTGATAAATGTGAGAAAATGACATGCATTGTAAGCTCTAAAAATATGTGAGAATGATGCAAATCAACAAAATTGTAAAGCAAGGAAGCATGCAAGAAGGTCCAAGGCCTAAGGCTAACCAAAGGGCTCAAACCGATGGCCATTACAAGGGAAAGCCCCAAAGGGTCAAAGGACTCAAAACAGTCCAATGCAGGTCAAGACAAGGCCAAAAACACACTTAGATAGCATCCAAATGGCCTAAGCATGGAAGCATACGCAATGATCCGTTCTCAAGAAGCATTAAAAAACAAAACTCTTAAACATTAAAGGAGTGATAAGCTGTAAGTTTATAGCATGAAAATATGGACTGAAATAACATTCTAAAGTGATAGCCAAACCACTGAAATGATCCCAATAGGAGGCAGCTAGAACTGATACTCAAAGTCCTATAACCTAGATACATGGTAGCTATTACAAAGCAAGTCCATGGATGATCAAGACACCAAGATGAGACCTCAAGCAATATCCAAAACATGGATAAAACTTCTTGAAGTCGATGCCAAAATCATGCTAAAAAACATGTTACCCACTGATGCATGTTAAGGCCAAATCATGGGATTACAAGAACAAGTGTATGAAGCATACATTGGCATGTCTTAAAACCCAACTCAAAACATAGGTGTATCTCGCAAGCACAAAGCTAATACAATGCATGTAAACTGAGCAAAACAAACTAAACACAATGTTACCAGCTAAAGCCATTTATGCAATTAAAATGACAAATAAGGAGAAGGGATGACCCTCTCCTATTTAAGACCTCAAAAACCACTCTCCACAACTGAAAATCCTCTGGTATTCAAAGTGGTAGAGAGGTCATTGCAAAGACCAACACATCACCAATAAAGGTTATGGCTAAACAAGGCCTTGGAGGGGGGAGACAACCCCAAACCTTCAATAGAAATGACCGTAAACTAGTTAAAACACACAATCAGAACTTTTATCAGTTTATGAGCGAAGCTTAAAACAATAAGAAATGGAGGGCTAAAAGCCTAAGCCAAAAATGGTTATTTAAAGCAAGTGAACTTACCCTTGTAGAAAACTCTTCAAGAATAACTCCAGCAGGTTTTCTTTTCAAAATCAACTCAAGAACCCTACAACAATAACCCTTCCATGCCTCAGCAACCAAGGATGGTGTAATGCCTTTGTAAAAACTCTTCAAGAATAAAAGCTCCAGCGCAGGTTTCCTTGATGTCAAAATCAACTCAAGACAACGATTAACCTCTAACTCCTCAGTAACCCAAGGATGGTGTAATGCTAGGTGTTCAAGTCAAAGTAAGACAAAAACTCACTTTAAGGGCACAAAATAGGATCAAACAAGGGAGTATAATACAAAAACGTATATTCACCCTCTAACCTAATTTTTTGAACCTTGGAGAGGAGGAGAGCTCCCTTTTTATAGAGGTTCAATTCTAATGCTGTCTAAGAGAAGCCAAGCAAAAGAGTTAAAATCTCTTCTTTTGTGTCAACGACCATTGTTACCATTTGGGTTGGGAGTTGGGGCAAGGGGCAGAAATGGGGGTGGGCGTGGGGGTGGGGTAGGGCCCCCCCAAGCCATATCCTACCCATTGCCATCCCTAATTCCTGGTGCCAAAGGCCCCCCCAAGCTACCTCAAGGTTGCTCACTTCAATCCCACTACATGTGGGGAGACTGGTAAGCAGCACACCATACCCTCTTAATATAGCATTCTGAGCCACTTGCTGACTGCCAGGTCACGATGGGGCGTCAAACCATTGACTTGGAACCCCAATGCCACTCGCACAAGCACTTCCGAAATGCCTTGACTGAGCTCTCCAAAGGTCGCTACACATGCAAGTGTCACCATGTTGGACTTGAAAGGTCAACTCATGACACAACTATGAACCTCATAAGCTAATATTGGGCTTTCTAAATTATGCTTGTTGAGAAAGTTACTGCCGCCTCCCCTTTTTGTTCTTCCAATCTGTACAGTTCATATGCGTTTCTTTTTCATTAGTGTGTGGATCCCTGCCTGACATTTGTAATACGAACTGCGCGTTTGTCTCTACTCAGGTGAAGAGGCGGAACTCAGAGGAAAGCTCTACTCAATGGACTACTGGGATTGCTGAGGTTCAACTCCCCATTGAGTATGTCCTCTCATATTCTGTGGCAAAATATGAGTGTTTCTTCTCGGTTGTTACACTCCAATCCTTTTCTTCTTTTTTTAAATAATAATTTAATTTTTTCAATTGTTTTTGCTGTTAGATACCTTTTTTTTACCACTTCTGCGTGAGAGAGTGAGAATTGGTTGGCAAAAGGGCTGTTTTTTGTTGGCTGATATTTAACACTGCTGCCATGAGTCAGTTATCTGAGACTCAAAAGAAGGGAAAGAAAATGGTTTTCTCGTTTTTGTAGATTACCATGGTCATAGAGAATCTTCTGTGCGTACCTTTTTAGGGGTTTTATTTCCTGGTTTCGAATGATTGCAGATTCAAGCTAAAGAATATTGAGGAAACAGAGGCTGCCAAAAAGCTCCTACAGGAAAAGAGGCGCATGGGTCGAATGAAAACAGAATCTAGCATCCCTGCAAGTTATAGTGCAGATTATTTCCAACGTGGCAGAGACTATGCCGAAAAGCTTAGAAGAGGTTGTTTATAATAGTTTCTTGTTTCTTGGTTCCATTTTATGTAACATTAAACTGCAGCTTTCATTTTTTAGTTTACTTCACCTTCCTGCCAAATCGGGACTTCAACTGTAGGGAATTTGGATATGCTGTGTCCCTTTGACAGCGTATCTAAGTTTAGCTCACCTTTCCTGAAAAATTGGAAGTCACCCGTCATGATAGTCAGGATTTTAATTCTTGTTATTGTTTTTTTAGTCCCACTTTCCATTGACTGCTACCGTGTTACTGCTGCCTATTGCACTCCTGCTTCTAACCCTATTCCTACTCCCCCTCCTCATCCTACACTGTGCTATTAGTATTGCTACTTACTTTTTGATGATTTAATGATGTTTAAAATTCTTGCAGATCATCCCGAGCTGTACAAGGAGAGAGGTGTAGAGGATGCTGGTCAGGAATCTAGACCAACTGATTCTGGTACAGATGCAGCAGGACGAAGGCAAGCTGCAACAGATGAGTTCATGCTTGAGCGCTTTCGCAAACGTGAACGCCATCGTGTGATGCGGAGATAACACGCAGCTGAGAATTCATTGCATCTCAGTGTCAGATCAAATATGGTCTGTGTAATGGATTATCACTGTGTGTTCTAACTTATCCTGCACTTATCAAAAGGAAAGCAAATAAATTAAAACCTAAAAAGAACAAAAAGCTTATCCTGCCTCTATATGCTGGTTCATTCAGCTACGTGCACACGGCCATGAGAAAAGTTTGATGCTTTTATCTCTATAAATACCTGTGGTGGTGGTCTTTGTAATGATTGAAAGCTTCCGGAGATGTAAACTGTCAGTGACTATTGTTGTGACTTGATGGAGGATACAAAATTTGATTCGTGACAGTAAAATTTATCCAAATTCCCTACAGTTGGAAAGGAGTGGAGAGGAAGGAGGATTGCTTTCGGTGCAAGTTTCACAATGCAAAAATATTTCATCTTCTGTCTCTGCACAACCAGCATAAGAGCATCTCCAACAGATGTCTTATACTTACTTTTTAGCTAAAATGAAGAGTTTTTTTTAATCAAAAAAATTATCTGCAACTAATCCCTTAGTCAAACCCCTACATATTAAAAAAGGTTGCTACAGTCACTTCATTTGTAGGGAGTTACTGTAATTTTCCTAAACATATAAAATTTTTATTTTACTCCAATATGGCAGCCAACATGCGCTTCTAAGTTTAAGCAAAAACATATTTTGTAAATGTTTTGGATTTTGAATTAATCGTACTTGGCTCTGTTTGTCGATTACCATTGAATTTTTGTTTCTTATTTTTTTTTTTTAAAATTTAAAACCAAACATGATTTGATATTCTGAGTCTTTAATAATCAGAAATTATCTAATAGATCCGTAAGATCACATGTTTATGTGTTCGTTCAATGATATTTTATCATTTCTCTACCATTTAAATTTAAAAAATAATAACAAAGAAATAATATTTTAATCCAATGGAGAAAGAATAAGGAGTATTGTTGGATAATGTAGTTGAAAAAGACTCTGACCTAGGGAATTCATTTTTTGGTTAAAATTTGAGGAACGAATAAAGTGTTGTTGGAGGATGCTCTAAGAGAAGTATATAAGGGATATTTTTGTCTTTTAACTTTTCTATTATAGTAACCATTCACTGGGACAAGGGGAGCTTCTATATACACACACCTAATCCCCTCAATATACACACTTAATGATATTTAATTTTATTATAATTTTATCCCTAAGTGAAATTACTATTTTAGACACCATTGTTAATTGAAAACATCTCAATGCACACCTCAGAGTTCACATCTGTTGCATCGTGTGTGTAGCTTGTGGATGCTCATTCATAGCTTCTTCCAGGGAGTGTGTGTAATCATTCATAGCTTCTATTTGTTGTATCTGTTGCATCGTGTGTGTAGCTAGTGACACCATTGGTTTCACTTCTTCTATCAATTTGTGAATGACGAAGGTTGTCCAAATTGGTTTCACTTCTTCTATCAATTTCTGTATATGATGTTCATTGAGCTAGAAGTGAAACCAAAGGGCTTTGGCATTTCCAAGTTCATCAACCTTCGTCATTCGTAGAGAAAACATCATTGTTATGGAGGATTTGCCTTTTGAAAATCAGCAAATAAGTGTTCATGTGAAGTAGAGCAAAGGAAATGTGAGTTAAATTTTTTTTTTCCCAGTGTCGTTCGGATAACCAGAGTCAAATTGTGTTATTTGGTTCGGAAATCTACTACCGAAATAATTATGTATTTTCGGAAGTTGATGTCCGAACAAAGTAATAAATTTCGGAAGTTGTTGTCCGAACAATGTATTTAAATTCGGAAGTTGTTGTCCAAACAAAGTTAACTTTTACAACATTCAACTTCCGAAATTTTTAAAAAAATTCGGACAACTACTTCCGAATGAAGTAAATTTTTTTTTTCCATTTTATATTCCAAATTTGCAAACTGCATACCAAATTTATAGTTTCAAATTGCAAATTAATCTTTATAATGCCATTAAAAATTTGTAATGTTATACAAAAGATGCAGGAATATGTGTCAACTCAAGGAAGTCAGGTTTGCGCAGATTTTGTGTTAGATTACACCACTCAATTCACAACTGAACAGGTTCAGTCTACGAAATTATAACGATTATGTTTCGAATTGCTCACCAAATGTAAATGTTTGATAATATTTATTTAACTTTGTAGGTATTCAAAAGTAAGGATGAATTGCTCAACTGGGTACGTGAAGTTGGAAAGAGAAATGGTTTGGTCATTGTAATCAAAACATCAGACTATGTATCTTGCTTGTGAGAGGAGTGGCCAATATAGAGCAACAAAGAAGTTAAAACATGATGGCAACAATACATCAAGAATAACCGGTACGAAGAAGTGTGATTGTCCTTTTGATATGAGGGCTCACAGGTTTACCACACATGATGAATGGACATTGACCGTAGTATGCGGATTGCACAATCATCCACCTGCGGAGCACCTCGAGGGACATTCATATGCGGGGAGGCTATCAAAGGATGAGAAAGCATTGTTAATGGATATGTCAAAGAGCATGGTTCGGCCAAAAGAAATCCTAGTAACCTTGAAACAGCGAGATGCCCTCAATGTAAGCACACTTTGAAATGATGTGTTAGAGAGGTGATGTGACTTAAATAAGATGATGTGACTTAAATAGGATAGTGACTTTTTGACTTTTTGTCTTTTTTTGATCATGCCAAACTTGGCCTAAGTTCTTAACCTTGCTCTGATACTATGTAAAAGAAATTGATAGAGAGAGAATAAATTGTATGTATTATTGATTGATTGTTAATATGTTTACAATGATGCATATATATAGAAGAGTAGAGTAGGTAGGTGTGTAGTAGGTGGAGTAGGTGGTAGTAGGTGGTAGTGGTAGGTGTGTAGTAGGTGGAGTAGGTGGTAAGTTTTAACACACTAGGTGGGAAAAAAAGGACAGAGACCTAGAATCCTCGAGTCTGTGTCCAGCTTTGGCATTTCTAGCATTAATAGTGTGAATCTTTTTAAGAATAAAGACTGAGAGTTTTAATTTTGAAGTTCTAAGAGAGTTTTAGACGTGACAAAGAGTGAGGCCTACATGTGATATAATGTGTGTGTTTATATTTTTATTTTTTTTTTCTTATCATATTACTAGAACTCTCTTTAAAATTTTAAAATTAGAATTTTTATCATTGTTGTCTTTTTAATTAGTGATGTTTGTTTGGTGTCAGATTTACAGACTCCACAAAATACCTCAACAGAAACAGAAGTTGCCGCCATTACTTCAGAAAGTCCAAGGACCTAATTTCACACACATTTTTCTTTTTCATTTTCAAATCTTTTCCCAAATTCTTCGATTAATGTTTTCATCTCTCTCAATATTTCCTAATTACTAAACTATTCATAAATTTTTTTTTGGTCCAATGTCACTGCTATTGGTGAGTTCAGAGCTATGTATCCACAGTTTTGGCTGGCAAAGATGGACTAATCAATCACCTTATGCACATTTTTCTTTTGTTTTGTTTTGTTTTGTTTTTGTTTTATTAACACCAGTCCAAGAAAAAAAAAAAAATTCGATTTATTTCATTTTTAATTAGGAGTACTCATGTTTCAATTATAGAGGTTTAACAATTTTTATGTATGGACAGAAGGGATTGCAGTCCCTGTAATAAAGAGTTTATTGATAAATCATGTAGGTTTCATATTTATTTTCCCTATCTTTTTAGTGGGAAAAAATAAATGATCTGTATTATATCCAATTTGGACTATGATTAAGTTGATTATTTTTTTGGATGTGAAATTGATTGATGTTTTGGTATGGTATTTATTGATGATTACATGGCACAGATGCTTGTAGCTATGATATCAACGAGTTGGATGTTGGAATTAGTTAATTAACTCTTCTTTTTCTTTAAATTTTTTTTACAATCAATTCATTCTAATAAACTCTGTTTGGAAAATTTTTCATGTTCAATAAGTGTATGATGTTTATAATACTGAATCATATCAACCCATGCATTATGTTCTATTTATCTTTTTCTATAGTTAGGTATTTAATTAATTTATTTAATTTAGATTTAAATGAAATTAATGATTAAAAAAAGAAAATAATTGTTTTAAACGAAGGTTGTCCCTCTCGATTGTTTTATATATATAAAAAAAAAAGATTGAAAAAAGTTATGGCTAGTACTGCAATTTATAAAGCAATGACTACAGGGACTAAGGCCTATTTTGTTAATTAGAAAAGGAAATTAAATTTTAAATTTTTTTTAAAAATATATATAAAAAAATAGCGAGGTGATGTGATGAAAATAAGGCAATAAACTAATAAGTTTAACCATTTATTTTTTCTATTTGTTAAAAAAAGACCTGAGTAATTAATTTAAATAAGAGGCCCCACTTGCGGGTCCTTATTAAGCGAAAACTCTCTATTGCAAAAACTTGCTATTGATGCAATTTATGTAGATTGTTTATAGTTTATTACTATTATTATTTATTTATTTTGGAAAGTGTATCAAAGTATTTTGTGTAATTTTTCTTATCAGTTATAAACCAAAAATAATTTAAATATGTTGATAAAACAAGATATTTTTAAGGGAAAATGAAGACGGTAGTCTTTGTACTTTCATTCTTGTGTTATTTTGGTTTATGTAATTTTAATTGATTCGATTTTGACCATTAATTTATGACTTTGTTTTAATTTGGTCCAATTAATTATAATTTTTAATATTTATTTATGAAAAATATACATATAAGTGGCATGTGTTACATTTTTAAGAATAAAATTATAAACTTACCCAACTCAGTGAGTCATTCCTTAACCAATTGAGCGATAATTTTCCATTTGAAACACTAACGCATTATCAATTAGATTAAATTGATACAAAATTTAGGGTAAATTACACTAATAGTCCCTATAGTTTGGGACTCGTGTCACTTTGGTCCTTAACTTTTCAATTGTGGCACATTTGATCTTGAATTTTGAATTTTGTTCCAAATAACATCACAAGAATTTGCACATTTGGCGACCACTTTTGGCGACCAAACAAAATTTAGTCGCCAAAAAGTTCACTTTAGGCGATTAAAATATATATTAGTTGGTGTTGGTACAGTTTTTAGCTACTAAAAATTTTTGGTCGGGAAATATTATTTATTGGCGACTAAATTACCTTTTTGTCGGCAAAAGTGACACTTTTAGCGACTAAAAAATTTATTAGTCGCCGTTAGTCTCAATTTTAGGCTACTAATTTTTTTTTTTAGTCACTGTATATGAATTTTTGCCTACAAAATAAATGTTAGTAGCCAAAACCAGGCATATTTTTTGGTTAATATTTAGCGACTAAAAGATTTAGTGGGCAAATACAAATTTTTTCTGACCAAATGGAGATTTAGTCGCCAAATATACATTTGGTGACCAATAAAATAGTCGTTGTATATTTTCCTATAGCTACCAAATAGGATAGT